TATTAAAAGAATTAATTTAAGTCCAAAAAAATAAACCTTGTCGTTTCTTTTTCTTGCTTTTTTAAAAAAATCCCAAAAAACTGGGTCTGTTGGACAACACTAAACAAAGAAAAAATTAATATAGGTATTAATGTCCCTTGAAGTATAAAAGTATAAGTTTACAAGGACAGGATCGAACCTATACTGAGTAACTAAATGATAAAAATTTGATCAAAATTAAATGAAAGGCTAAGAGTCTAAGCGCAGTCTGATAACGAAACGGTAAACAAGAAGTGCTGCCTGTCATTTAATAGAGACGTGAAATACTGGGTAGACCACATCCTGAACTCCTGCGAAAACCGGAAGAGAGGAACGCTCAGGGCTAAGGAGACTAAACAGGGGCGTAGCTACTTGTATGCACGGTTCCCACGTGCGTACCCGAAAACGTTGAGGAGAAAAAATAGGATGAAATAAACATAACTAAAAAAATCGGTTTCCAGAGAAGCGAGGACATTAATTGGAGAACCGAACCTTGGATGCTTTATTTATATAGCAAGCTTGATGATGTAAAGCGTGAACGCGTTGTTTTCTCCACGACCTGTCTTCGGAGTAGACGAAGTAGGGCACAATTACGTCAATGTGTGGTGTTTTTGTCGGTCAAAAATAATGTGACAAAAAAGGGTAAAAAGAGTCATTTGTAAACTAAAGTCGGAGGTACTACAAGCTTGATTTTTAATAGCTGAATTAATGATAAACGGTTGACGTCAATGAACATAACAAGCCGACAGAATTAAAGAATTTTAGAGGTTGTGTCATTTCATAAACAGCAAAAATGCTTTTGCTTACAACCGTTAACCCCACCTTTAATATAGGCACCTTAAAAAATGTTGAGATTTGGGGGGGGGGGGGGGGGGGGAGACGATGTAGAAAAAGCTGGGTGTACCTCCGGAAAAATCCTGACTACGCACCTGCTAAATCCTGAAACTGAACAACAGGCGTCCTCAGTTATCATCTGTCCGGGGTCGTACTTTCAAGGAAGCGCTGATCAAGAATCACTCATGACGGAATGAAAACTCCTCGTAGCTTCCAGCGAAAAAAGGAGTGACAACAGTGGTAAGCGGTCGTTCTGTGAAATGTAACGCAATCTCTGCCGTTTACGATCTTTCGGCGCTTGGATTTAAAACGTTGTTGTTTGGTATGTTCTCCTGTGTGGATACTTGACCTTTCCAATATATGGAAACACCATGCTAAGGTACGAACAACAGACATTCACAACATTGTTTTGTACGCTAAAATCTGCTTTCATGGACGCAAAACGTTTTGAATTTTAAGACTTTTTAATATTAGTGCTTTGCCCTCCCCTTGACAACTTCACGTGACTGGTGCACTTGGCAGGAGTTGACAGCTTAAATCTGCCTTTCTTGATAGCAAACGGCATTAATTTATATCAGATCGCTGTATAAACACGTCTTGGTTTCTGAAAGCTGATAACTTGAAGCCACTGTTTCTCAAACTGATTTCTTATTGTATTTTTCCGAGTTTTTAGCATCGGCCCGCCGAGTTTCAGGGGAGTCTGAAAAGCTCAAATTTCAGAAAAGTACTACTTGTATTTTTTGACCTCAAAAATTTTCTTTTCAGTTGCCCGTAGTTTTGAAAACAGATTTTGAAAGAAGAGATAACGCTCTTTAACGTGGTATAAGACTGGTTACTGAAATCGAGGTACCAGTCGACGATTTGGGGCTTTGAAATTTGCCATTTTTTCATTGAACGAAAACGTTCAAAATATTGAAAATAATGAAAAATCTCCAAAATATTACATATTCATTCAAGCTGAGTAAATCACCACTTAAAATGTGTGCAATTATGTACTCTTCTGAATAAGTTATTTGTTGTCCGCATTACAATGGATTTGAATTTTAAAACGATTTTTTTGTGACACATGGTCTCGGGCCTGGAAAACCCGCTCCGAGAGCCGCGAAACCAATAACCCCCCCGTACGTGGAGAATAATTATCGGATCGAAGTAAAAATTACATTTATGTTAATAGCTTACCTAGTGCTACTTTGTGAATTTTTTTGAGAATTTTCGATTTTTCACTTTTGTAGACCTCTGGTCGATATTTACTGACATCCGCTCTTAACGAGTGCGAATTTGTTTCTCAATCGGTGTATAAAAAAGTGAGGCTATCAAATGAGAAGTTTATAGAGCATCAAAATTATTAAATTAAAAGCTCACATAATTAGGAAAATTCCTATACGAAAATAATGCTAGTGACATTAAATTGATCAGATAAAATTCTCAGAAAATATGTCGAATAAAAGCCTCATTGTTTGCTTTTGTTTTTGCGTAAAGGTAAATTTTTCGACCCACAAAGCAAAGTTGAAAAAGCGACTAAATCTTAGTTTTTTACATTGAACATGTTTATTAGCTTAGTTTTCGTCCGTTTTAAAAGCTTTATAACCCAATCATAATTTAATCATAAAATAGTACAAAATCATTTCAAAAACCATGTTCATTGAAAGTAGAACCGGCAAACGTGAACATTTTGTAATTCAAAAGTCGGACCCAGCCAGGTTGTTTAAGCTTAGAATTATTTGCATTTTAGCGTCCTATAAATTTACCAGAATCGCCTCTCAGAGGCTTACTGTAGCAAAGCATTTTGTAGTACACTCGTAGACAAGCAATGTAAGCCTTAAGTCTTTGCTTGGATGAGATGTCCAAAAGAAAAATTATTTTTGTGGACCTAAACGCACATTCACAGACTGCTTATATTGAGTTGTTTACAACTTTGCATTGACACACGAGGCATGTCATTTTTTTAAAGCGAAATCCAAATCTGATTGTCAAAGCTCAGTTCGCCTGTATTAAACGGCTTGGAAACTAAAATTTGATAGCATTTTGTTTTGAATAAGGGTATGGGCATGATTTTCAGTTGAACACTGGATTGTAATCATGGGTATCTTTAAGAAAACTTTCAAAAAATGCCTTTAAGCGGAAAATAAAACAAACACTTTCTGAAATCCTAGCTTCTGAAGACTGTTATATTGATCTCCCAGAAATCGTTCAAAAAGGTAAGTTGAATTTATTTTCCTCTTAGTTGATATGTAATAATTAATATCGTTTAATGTATCAGTTAAAGTCTCTTGTCATAACTGTTGTCATTTATTATTAGTAATACCATTAGTTTATCAGTACTCTCTAGTCATTGTTGTCAATTTTAGTTTCTTTAGTTCTCTTGTTACTTTTAGCTGTATTTAGTTGTACTTATTTGCTGTAAACATGACCCGCCTAGATTAGCTGAGCTACCCGCGGGCATGTTATTGTACTTTTACCTTAAAACAAAATGAAATAAAATGTATGTATGTAAGTTAGAGTGACCAATCATGTCTTAGAGTGAAAAGGTTACCGACGTCAAAAGAAGAGACGGATGAACCTAAATTCGTGCAATTACAATTGGTGTTGCTCCAAGCAGTTAGTTATAAGATATTTTTGTATGCATAATTCAACTGAACAAATATCAAAATGAGCTCTTCCTCGTTCTCTGTCAAGTTCCGAGCCATAAAAGAAACCGTCTGGATTAAATTCACTTCCTCGAGATAATCACTAAAATTATTCTGTAACCGCATAGGCATCAGGGACAGTTTAGCGGTGTTTGCTAATTGAATTGGATAGTAATCCACTGAAAGTGGAAAAATAAAATACAGTAATATTATCTCTCAAGTTCCCAGATTGACCTTGAGTTTGCTTTGCGTTTCTGTTCTCGAGACTGACGTAAAGTTAAAGCCGGGACGCGTAAAGGCAATGAAATGACGACATAATTAAGAAAAATGGCCTTGTTTCGAAAGTATCGTTTACAGACCTAGTCTGACTAGTCTGTGGGCGTGATGTATAATAATGAATAATTCTAACGAATATCACGGAACACAGATAAATTTCGTTTCGGAGACCTTTTGATCAGCTAAAGATCATAATACTACTGACAACAAATAAATAGCTCTACTTGCCCATCTGTTTGTAGTACAAATTCGGACAAAGCAAAGCGATATTCGCTAAAATCTTTCACCTCAACAAAGCACTGGCTAAAGACAATTGGTATTGGCAATAAGTTATATGTCTGAATATTTTTCGCGCTTGTAATTCTTTTGTGGGAATAAATAAGATCGATTTATTTAAAACCAAGGTCAAGCAAATGAATAAATAATACCTGTTTATCGGAGTAAGGGAAATTGCAAATGAGAAATTTGAACATTTTTGTCATAAAAGGCTCATTAAATAATAATACTAAAATAGATGGAAATAATATACGTATATCTTATTCACTGTTGCGTGCTCCATGGTTTATATAAGATGGAAGTGGTCGAATATTTAATATCGAACGGAAATACAGAACCGACGCGTGAGAAAATATACAAAAAACGTACTATTAAAGCTAGGAATAGAATATTAAATACTTCAACTGCTTTAAAGTGAGTAGGTAATATCAACAGCTACTTGCTAAGAAATCCTCTTTTGCTTGCGTTAACATAAAAGCGGAATCTAAGTCACCCAAACAAACACACCATACAAAGAAATTACAAGTTTTACCGCGCTCAACAACCTGTTGCTTTTACGAGCAAAAATTGGCCAATGAAATTTTTCTCAACGTCGCTCCAGCCAATCACATTTCAACGCTCCTTGAGGTTTTCCTTGTTCCGATCTTTCGCGCGATTGAATAACTGTCAAGTTTCTGAAACAATACAAGTTGGTAGAATTATGCATCCGAGATGAAAAGAACGTAATTTTGTAAAGCACGAGTCCGACACGAGGGCAACAATTGGCGTCAAACAAACATTTCTTTTGTGACGATTCTGGAGACAAAGGACGAGGAAATTGAAAGCTTTCTCCTACTGGTATAAACTGAGAACAATAAGGCTAATCTAAATTTCATTTTCTTTGACAGACGATCAGCCTTTGTTTATAAGCCGTTCTTTTAAAAAAACCCTTTATTTTGGTTGGACCGTACCTGATAAAATCCCGGCACAATGGATGGTACAAACGTGTTCTACGATTTCAAAGACGGTCAAGGAGCGACGGATGCTCTTCAAAAGATGAACGATTTTCGCCTTGAGAAGAGTTTTTGTGATGTGGTTCTCTCAACAGACGATGGAGAAGAATTCTACGCTCACCGCCTTGTTTTGGCTTCTGTTAGCGCCTACTTCCGAGCGATGTTTCTGACAGATATGAAAGAAAGCCATCAAAAAAATATAACAATAAGAGGAGTTGAGTCGCCAGCTTTGAGAAGTTTGATAGATTTCGTCTACACTTCATCACTGGGAATCACGTTTTCGAACATCCATTCAGTTCTTTCAGCGGCCAGTTTGCTTCAGTTTGCAACCGTAGAAAACGCCTGTTACGATTTTCTCCGAAACAGTATCAACGTCCATAATAGCATCGAAATATGGAACTTGGCGGACCTACACGGCTGTTCAGAGCTAGTAGACCTGGCCGAAAACTTTATTCGCGCAAATTTTACGGCGATTTTAAAACTGGAAGATTTCAATATGTTGTCGTTAAAGCAAATGGTGCGACTTCTTTGTCACGATAAACTAAACGTCCCATGCGAGAGCACCGCATTGTTCGGTGCTCTTGATTGGGTCAAATACGATTTGGCCAATAGACTTGTAAATCTCGAGGAATTACTGGAGCATGTCCGATTTCCTTTGATGACGCGAAAATTTCTGATGGATACAGCGGCAAGAGAGGAGCTAATCATGGCTAGCGCAACCTGCAGACAGTTTGTTCTCGAAGCGATAGACTATCATCTTATTCCTGAGAGAAGAACAAAGAACCGAATCCCGCGTGCGATCCCTCGTGACAGGCTAAGCCAATTACTTTACGTTGTTGGAGGCGAAGGTAGGTACTGAAAGAAATACCGAATTTATTCGAATAAGCGCCCAACCTTGAATTAGCGCCCACCTCGAATAAGCACCCATCCTGAAGGCAGAAAAATTTAATAAGCACCCAGCCTCGAATTAGCGCCCACCCCAACCCCACCTCCCTCCGCCTCAAACTCAAACTCAAACTCAAATAAGCGCCCACCCACCCCCACTCCCTTTCTGGTCCCTCCCACCCAAAAAACATTAAATAAGTACCAATAACAGACTTGCCCGAAGACGGAGTTTTCTTCAGAGTATTTTACAGAAACCTTGCTATGTTACATCTTCGCGTTTTATTATTACCATTTATTGTATTGTTGCAAAATAAACATGCTACACTTGCTGAAAATGGTGAAAATTTAATAAGCGCCCAGCCTCGAATGAGCGCCCCCTCTCAATGTCCAAAAATTTAATAAGCACCCAGGGCGGTTAATCGAATAAATACGGTAATACAAAAACAAAACGACGACAACAGCTGATTATTTTTTTGAAAAAGTGTTTTAAAGTGACCGGCCGAGGTTGCAAAGCCGGATAGAGGGAGGAAGACGAAAGTGGATATCTGTGCTCTGAACTGAAAAAGATCGAAAAACATTTCGACCACTAATTACAGGTGACAACCTAGCCTGAGGACATCAGGGGGTATTTGTCGGATGAGATGTATAAACGGTCGGACTCTGGCGATTGAATACACTTGCAGAAAGAACATGATCGATCTCGTTGATGGGATTTTCCCAACAATATTCTTATTTCCCATTAACTAAATAATAAATTTTAATCATCCTGTAATTGTTCGTCAAATGTTGAGTGTAAAGAGGAAGTCTGATGTATCTAGCTCGCAAGTGCAATTGACCTTGACTTAAACAGAGGCGTACAACGATAATGCATGCCTCCTAATCTCCTAGGTGTCGTAATTTTTTGTCACTTTATTATACAGTGTAGTATAAATTGTGGAACAAATTTTTAAGAGATCATTCACGCGGCAAAAAGTTCGACATGGTGATCTTGGAATGAGCGGCATTTTTTTTGCGAATACGTGAATTACCTCAGGGTATCGAAATTATTTTAATGGTCGCGTGAATGTGCACGTTGAGGCCCGTAAGCCACTTTTACTCACTTGATCAGTTACGCAAGACAGAGTCCGACCAATTTTCCGTCAGTCGACAACTTTCATAGATGAATTTTGAAAATGACTGACTGTTCGTGAAATCTTCCCGAGAAACAGTGTAATGTTTGAGACTTCACGTGACCTGCGAAAACTACCGTCTTTACTCGCTAAGTTTGTTGATAAGGCAGCCGATTCTATGACCGCCCTCGAAGCGCCCAACACGAGAAAAGACGAGACAGTCCCTTGTCAAGTCACCAATGCTAATACAGCTGGAATCAAGCTAAAAACTATAAAAAATTATTCAAGCCTATTCTGCCTAGATTTGATCTGGGTATAAATCTGGGTATCACGCCGTGTCATAGATACCCAATATGTCGTCATAAACATGTATGTGTGCCGAAAAAATGCATATTAAGATAAGATGTGTCAAGTATGGCGAGACTAATAATACAGGACTTCCTGTCTAGAATTTTCAGTTAAACAGTTCGCAGGCTTAAAATAAAACCGTGGCATGGATCTGTGGACTTTTGGATGTGCGAACGCATCCAAAAAAAAAAATCAATTAAATCCGACTGTTTAAATTAAATGCGACGTTTGACGTATCTGCGACTGAACGGTCGAAGATTCCACTTGAGTTGGACTTTTGATTCAAACGTCGCATTTCACATGTGTCGAACTTAATGTATGAAGTTTAGAAAATTACCGTATTATAGTTATATTACTGGGAATATTGACAGCGAACAAAGTTAAATTCGACAGAGATCAGAGAGTTAAATTCGACGTTTGAATCAAATGCCGTATTTAACTATTACTGTTCGACGTTTGAACTAGGCCTCAGATACGGCAAAACGTCGCATTTAATTTAATAAACAGTCGAATTTAATTGATTCAAACGTCGTACTTCACATGTATTTTTAATTCTCGCAATAAGTTCGGCACATGTGAAATTCGACGTTCGTTCGTTCGCCTAACATTTTAACTTATCTTTTTGGTCCAAAATCGGTATCGGTGGACAAAAAAAATCTTTAGGTTGAAGAAGAATATACTGTCAGACCACTTTTAAACATGTTAAAAGTACGATGCATATTCATTATGTGGCGCAAAGATTTGTTGAGTTGAGACATTTTGCAGCGAGCTAAAATAATAATTAAAAAAAACATGCAACCTTGTCACCAAAGTAGCGACGAGGGGAGAGAGAGGGTGAGAGTGTAGACTGCAATTGAAACCGTGAGGTAAAGGCGAGAAGAGCTGACAACTGAACTGACTCGTGAAGAATCCGTTTACACCCAGGGATATATATAAGAGAAAGAATTACGGCAGGAAAAGGGGCTGTGTCACAGCTGGCGAATGGTTATGAAATTGCATTCCTACACATACCTTAGCCTGAGTTGCAGCCGGCCAACGCATTGTCTAAACCATCTGTATAGTTTATACAGAAGGTCTAGAATCTCTGTGACGTAGGTTAACATATCCGCGCAACCTTCTTTTATTTTCAAGTTGCAACGTCTTAGCTTAACCTTTTCATTATATGTACGACCATGAAGAAGGAAGGCCGTACCTTCCGAAATATTAGGGAGCTTTAGCAACGACGACGGCGACCGCAACAGGTTCGTCAAAAAAGCAATAGAGTCTATATTAGCAAAACAACAACTTTGCACGTGCATCAGGTTTTTTTGTTCTTCTTTACCGTCCTTGCACGAGTACGACGTGAAAATGCCTAATTGCAAGTTTCTTGGAGGACGTAAACAAGCGACGACGAATCTCTTTTTTTACACTTGCCACTTTTAGCAAATTGGAATGAACGCGACAACGACTGAAAAAACGGGAATTCATTTTAAAACTGACGTTTTCGCTGTCGTTGCCGTCGTCGATGCTAAACCTTTCTATTGGTAGATACATATATTTAGTAAAATCCAACTAGTGGTCTATTATCAATGCTGCGTTGTGATTGGTTGAGCTACTATTAGGCTATATGTTATAGCCCATTAGTAGCGAAAAGCGCAGGCTTTTTGGCGGCAAAAAAGGATTAAAGTCTAGCTTTAACTAGCTAAAAGTTTTTTATTCTCGATATTTTTGACCAACTAGTTGGATTTTACTAAAACAATTATTCCTCTCGCCTCATGACCTCATGGGCTATTGCCTCAGATCCCATTCGGGCTCGAGGAATAATTGTTAAATATATATTCCCGACTGTAAAATCAGCCTTGCTTCTTTTGTTTTATATTTTCACTTATTGCTGATTAGATCCTTTATTAGGATCCGGTCCTTGTTTTCTGTAAGCTGGTCCTTTCTTCAAAAATTCAACCTTCAATAGCCTGGTGAAAACCGATGCTTGGTCTTATTTCAGGATGTGAATTACCGTAAAGCAAGACGGTATTATGATATGAACCTCCTAGTGGCTTCTTAGAGAACGGATGTCTTTACAAGGATGAGTCCATTAAATAATGAAAAGTATGTTAATTTTTCCGCAACGTCATCTGTTACGAACCAAGCAAAGTAGAACACTACTAAGCCTTGGAGAGCGATTAAGCAGATCGAGCAGAAGTTTTTTAAGCCTTTAAGAGTAATTAACCTCTTCCCCTTCTTTTACGTTAACACATGAAATAACCGCACAATCTGTGGGGGCTGGTACCATAATAAGCCTTGGCACCTGACAGAGCTTCTAGACCAGGGCTCAATTCAAGCTTTTACAAGAGTAATTTAGTACAAGTGTAGCCATTTCATTCAATTGACTGGATTGACCCCAGTCCTGTTCTGAATACAGTAAAACACTTGTCGCAAAGAAAAAGTACATTAACCTTGAACAAGAGGTTGCCTTGACCTAGAAGAAATTGGCGTGTAGAGAAGCGACGACTGGAAATATGTTCCTCACAGTCTACCTGTCAGCGTTTTCGCGTGCTTTTGCGCCTTAGTTTGCCTTCTCTCTTTCCGTCTTGCAAGCAATTGCCACCTACAGTAGGCTAGCAGGCCAGTAAGAAGTGTTAGCCGTGCACAATAAGAGCTAAATAATTTGTTATCAGTTAGACTGAACGTTATAACTTGGGGATCATTCATAATTTATGCCAGGATGTGGGCTAGCAAGAATAAGGGCGGGGGGTCACGACAAATTTAGGACAGTGTGAGGGGGGTCATGAGGAAATTGGCATACAACAGGCGGGCTGTCTGATTTTACAATTTTGTTTTATTTTCAAAGAAATGCGTTGAAAAGTACATTTAGAGGGGCCATGCCGTTTGTTTTCTTTCCTGGAAGGGGTCATAACTATTTGTTATATTTACTGATGGATTCTTCCAGCCCACCCCCTCGCATAAATAATGAATGGTCCCTTAGTTTATCAAAATCTTTTCCTGTCCTCTTCCCCTATACCCGAAATATCATGTTTAGTCTGTACTTGTATTCAATCCGATTAATTCTTTGTCACCGTTCTGGTTTTGTAAATAAAGATCTAAGAAAAGAATTAATCTTCTTGGTTCAAGCTTTAACTTAGTGTTGACTCTTTACTGCCACTTTGTTTTGATTTCAGAAAATCGCAAGGTTTTAAACGACGTAGAGTTCTTTGACTTCAACGAAAAGAGATGGCGCGCAATCGCACCTATGATAATTCCACGCAAGTACGCTGGTTGCGCTTTTCTAGATGGTCAGCTGTATGCTGTGGGAGGAGTGAACAGGGAGTACACTGACCTAGTGACCGTGGAGAGTTACAACCCTTGTGCGGGCCAGTGGAATTCTGTTGCATCACTCAACAAGTGCAAAGGTGACTACCACTGATCAAGCTGAAATAAGCATTGTAAAAAGTCAATAAGTATACTCGCAGAAGAAAAACAAAAAAGCTAAAACAACAACAACCACAAAACGCATACGCTCAAAATCGGGTAGAAGTCCTCTAGAGAAGTTCCAAAGCACCTAATTAAGAGTGATTTTCTGTAAAATTCGAACTTCGGCCTGACACGGTACCTCATCGATTTGGCTGATTTTTGGCATGTAGTCTTAGAATGGTGTCCTAAATACTGAATGCATATTCTAAGGTTCGAATTCTCGTTGGTTTCAAAGATACAGGAATGACAGTTTTGACGTGGCCTCGAGCGGCCGCCATGTTGGTGAACTGAAGGAGATTTACAGTAATTAATTCTAGCCTTATCATTAAAGTAACTTAATCGTGACTCATACAGTTGCAAAGAACTATCCTTCCTCCTTTCATTTACCTACTCTTATCTGAAAATGGTTAAGCCTGAGCTACTAACGGCTATAACTTCTCACAGCACTTTTTCGGTACTTAAACGGTACACAAATTTGATAGAAATTGGAAGGCCAATATCACCCATGCCACATCGATTTAGACTAAGCCATTTTAACTAAACATAGTTTGTTTATAGCTAAGTTAGATTGTTGAATAAAATAATTGGGCAAATGCAACGGAACAGAAATATGATTGCATGAATGCGCAGTGGTTCAGCCACTTGGCCGCTAAAACTTCAAAACAAAATTCGGTGAATATTTGAAAAGAAAATTCTTTAAAAATTGATCGTGCTTCTTAAACCCTATCTATCGCTTAAAAAACCCTCCCTTGAAATGTAAACAGATGATCTTTTGATTCTGATCTTGCGAAGAGCTTGAAATATGCGCTAAAATTAAAATTATAAATTTTGTTACACACGGTACTAGCTCAAGTTCGCTCTTCGATTTCCCAGACCAATCGGGAGCCGCTCGTGTACTGCACAGTTACAATTTTCTCTGTAGTATTTCGCTGTATACAGCTACAAATTACATATTTTCTTAGGCAAAGATAACGCAAACGTTGTCAATTTTAATCAAAAGGCTAGAAAAACCAACCGTGCACTGTAGCTTTATGCAAATTGTATGGTATTCGATAATTACACGTGTAAACAGGAACCTACCTTTGCTAATGTACACTGTTTGGCAGATCTTTCCAGCGTAAGATATAAAACTAGTACATGAAATGAAATTAAAGAACTCATCAAGTCAAATGACCTGATCGTACCGTCATTACTGAATAATAAGTCCGCAAAATATGACAAGGAATGATCGGTGGGAGACGAAGCTATTTTTAGGAGGACAAGGAACTGCACGCTGGAACGGAACTGAAATGAACAACGTCAATCAAGTTCAGTCTTCTTGACGCTATTAAACGTTTCACCCGAATTTGAACAGGAAGTTGTTTTCTATTTTCTTTCTCATTCTTGCATGTATTCTGCAGTTCGCCCACTATTTTTTCGTAACTTTTAATTTTCTAGCTAACTGGAACTGTTTAGAACTACCAACCCCCCTCCCCCCTCCCCCTCTTTGAGTGAACTTTCATTCGGTCTGATTCACAATAATTTTCGAACGGTGACACAGTGATATTTGAAATGACATTTTATTTAGCATTTTTAAAAGCTCCTTCTTTTTTGCCCGATAGCCAGGAATGTTTTGAACGTAAAGGCTGAAGTGGCGGTGTTTTTCACGACTCTGCTTGACTGACTCTGATCGGAGAGGGTCATACAGTAACTGATGGGTCTCTGAAAAGCGAAATGCAGTCACGTGGGGCGAGTAGGCTATATAGATGATGAACTCATTGTTTATAACCCCATAACCGTATTCCAAAAGTCGAGCCAGCCCGGGGCGAGCGAACACAATTTTGGGGTCACTGGCCACACCCTTATATTTAGCGAGAAATTGGTTGATTAGTCAAATCTCCTTAACTCCACGACCATGCACCTTTCCAAATATAGCCCTTCTTATCATCATATAGTTAGGGCCTCCCGTAAACATTTGCAACTATTTTGATTTGTAGAAGACTGTTTAACAGTTTTCATTACTTTAATGTCTCGTAAACAACACGAGGTACATGTTCTGATCTCTCCACCGCCCCCCCAACCCTTCCCCCATCCATAACAAAAAATTTTCAGACCAACACTGAATTGCATGAAGGTATGTATACAAAAATATGACCATCTCGAGGCAAGGTTCATCACTGTGACTTACCACATAAAAGCCTTTTCGTTGTTTGCCATCGACTGATTCTGTTCTGAATACTAAGGTCCCATAAACAACGCCACGTTTAGAAAGAGCCCGCCCTTTTCAATCCAAGAAAACCCAAGTAGCGATTTCACCAACGGACATAAGCCGTAAGAAAAGGACCGCGTCAAATAGTTCATGAAATCACAAACGCCTCATGACACCTTTAATTCACTCTTTCTTCGATAAACTAATTTTTAATTTTTTAAGCATAAATGACATCAGAATGCGCGATTATGAGCATTGTAGCTTATGAAAAGAAAATTTAACACCTGATGCACATGAAAGCGTCTAAGGAGGGGACTAGGGGGAATTAGGAACATTGTGCTTACCGCTGGAAAAATATTGGCTAGTTCTTTGAATAGACTCAATTAAAGCCGTTTTTGTTCAGTAAGGAGCTGTTAGATGGGGGGAAAGCTACATAAAGTAGATCGCATCAGAATACGGCATAGGACTAGGCTCTCAAAATCGATAAGCTGAATGCAAGACCAATTATTATGTAAAACAGAGAAAAATTCCTTGAGGGAAAAAAATTATGGCTAGGGAAAAGACCCGAAGGTGGAAAGTTAGGATGGTAGCTTCTTTTCAGGTAATCGATCATTTACGTTAACTTCCGCTATCCGACGGGCATATCGGAAAGACTGAATGGATGAGAGTATAACACATTCAAGAAGAAACAAATTTGTGATTTTTCACAACTCAATAAAAAAACTAAAATTGTGTACTGCTCGGTTATACAAGATTTTTGTTTTCAATTTCAGATTTTTACGATGGGTCATTAGCCCCCGTACTCACTAGACACTACTTTACAATCATCGTGTTAAAATCAGTGAAATACTCCAAAACAATTTGGATTCCTACCCTTATACCTTTATTAAAAATTAAAGTTGGGAAGTTTGTTGTCTTCTAAAAGTAGTTTGAACAGCCGAACGACATTTTTTTACACGGAGTGGAGAAGGCAAAGCTTCACTTATCTCTTCTAAGGTAGAAAGTGTCAGCAAAACGTGAGAGTCGTCCTTGAGGGTAAAGTGTCTAACCTAATTTTCTCACCGATTGCAAGTGCCATTTCATCCACGCATAACCTCACCTAGTTAACAGAATTAGCAAATGTAGTGGGGAAACGTTGCGAGAGAACTGAGTAAGATGTTAGGGTAAGTTTTGGAAATTTTCAGCACACCTGGAAAGTCCTGGCTACGCTCCTGATAGAGACTTTTGCTGGAGAGAAATTGAAACATGTTCGCTAATATAGTGACGACCAGAAAGGACAAGCCATAGGATAGTTCCAGAAAACCACCCATTAAAATAGATCACGAAGTTGTCGCGGCGGAGGATGAACTTGAAGGCATCTGATGAATTGCCATTTTTCAAGGGAGCCCAGACAAGATTATGTACGATGGGCACAGCTTGTTTGATCTGGAAAATTTAGAGAAGCTCAAGGCAAATCGCTAGACAACACATGCTAGAGCTGAACTAAAAATCTTTTGCGCCTTTGAACTCTGTCCCTAAGGGTAAAGGAGAAAGTTTCCCTTTATCAATGCATTAACCGAGTTGATTATGAATGTCTCCTTATGTTGGACGTCTTACTAACAAGCACATTACCACTACTTGCCCTCAGAGGCGTTTTTCATTTGACCAGCAGAGAAAATTAGGTTTTGACTGTTTGAAATTCTGGATGCCAGAGTGAAGACGCCTTTTGTATGATGACGTCATCGTCCTACAGTAAAAAGCGTTCGTTTTTTACCACTGATATTACGTCAATCGGTACACTTATGTTGTCGAAAGGTCCGTGAGCATGGTAAATGATTTTACCTTAAACTGCAGACACATCTTCAATCACTCCTTATTGTTCGCGATATCGGATAAACACTCTGGTCTCTAACTGAATTTTCTTTGCTGTTTACTTTATTTTGAATTAGGACTGTCTTGAGTTGTCCATGCATTGTCTAGCGATTTTAAGCTTTTTCAAGGAAACAAAAATCTGGAATTGTCCCTAGGGTGAGACATTTGCGCACAGTTTTAAAGCCCTTCGGTGGGGTGACTGTGGTTTTTGCTGTCCCGGGCTCATTCCTCATTCTTCTTAACCCCTTCCAAACCAATTTTTCTGTTTATCAAGAATCTCCTCAAAACGGGCTTCGTGACTGAGACAAAATACCTGAAAATTGTACACGGAACCGTTGTTAACGGTGTACAAGGTAGAATGAGTCTATTCATTACTTTGCCAACGCCCAATTTTTAAAACCGGAAGTAATGATGTTTATTTCAAGGGCTCATGTCTCATGAGTTTTGAGTAAATCTTCAAACGCTGTAAACACATGTAGCTGGAACTATCATCGCATCGATCCTTGCTCACTAATAATGATAACTTATATCAACTTCCATTATTTATTGCCTGGCTAAGATTTTCACGGATTCTTCAGTTCAGTTGTTTGAAACCAGGCAGTTTCACGTGAGTTGTAACGCCAGGCAAGGAACGTGACGACCCGCGATATGCGTGGGAAAATATTACTTTTTTTCGATCAAGGTGGAAACTGGCAACTTAGTCGTCGAGTAAGGTAATACATCTCAATTTTCATTACTATGGTTAATTTTAAAAGCTCTGGTTTCGGTAAAGGAACTGGAGGAAAATCAGGAAAATTCCAGTTCGACTGTGATGGTTGAATTTTGTTTACGCGTCATAGCATAAACATAACAAATTCATTTTCCTTTTCCTTATACAATCTGCCTCTTTTTATACTGTTTTTCGCAGCAGAGTTATCGATTATATTACAGAGGCTAATTTTATTACACAGATCACTCAGATTTAATGACAGAAACTCTATTATCGATTGTAATTTTGGCAACACCTGGCGAGTATTCGGTGTACAGATTATTGACAAAGTCGCTCGAACAGTCTTCCATTCATTACTTTTGTTTCTGCTCCGTTAAATTTGCCCAATTTTTTTATTAATGAACTCGATTTAACTACAAACAGTGAGTATTCAGGCAGATTGGCAAGCTTCAATGCGATGTGGCAAAAGAGATATACGCCTTTAAAATTCTGTTAATTTTGCGGGTGTAAAAAATTCAAAAAGTATACCCACCAAAAGTTTAATCGATCGTTGCGAAAACGTTATCAATTTCGAAGTAGTTTCTAAAAATACAATAAAGAGGGATTGTTCTTTCAATCAGTATTGGCAAAGGAAGATTAGCTTTGAAGACAGGGTTGTAGTCGAAGGCTCAAAAGCAGCTTCTATTAACCAATATGGCGCCGGTCCGAGGCACCCAAAAACCGGCCATGTCGATAATTTCTGAAGTAGGAGGAATTAGAACCTAAAGTTACCTATTCCTTATTAAAGACCTCAAATCAAGTCTACATGCCAATTTTTAGCCAATTCGGTGAGATAGTGTGGCAGCGCCTTTTTAATATAGCTCGAATCTTACAGACAACTGCTCTTAAGTCTTACTCGTTTACATTGCTCGGTCTCATGACGAAAGCTAGTATTCTATACTCACTGACTTATGATATAGGCGATGTGTGCAGGTGTCGCAGACCAACACCAGAGAAAGTGATTGGGTATGTCTCGGCTTGTCAATTCCCCGGTGGGCGGTGACTCCAAGAAAATCTTTATTGTTTATAGAATGATTATAGAAGACTGACGCTGTTTATTACACCCTCTACAGCTATATTTTACTTTGCGTTAATTAATTACGAAAGAGGGTAGATATTTTTCGGTTCGTCAAAACGTAGAAAAAGACCAGAAATAAACAGGAAAATTAAATTGAGCGGAAAATACTTTATCACTTTCTTTGAACACATGACGTAAAGAGGATCAATCGATCAAGCACTCTACCAAGCATAATTTCAGGCCATCTCTAACAAGTACTAAACCGTGTCTGTTGTCTTTGTCACTTTTCGTAGGTGCTCTGGGGGTATCAGTACTTGAGGGATGGCTGTATGCCGCCGGTGGATCTCACAACGGAGCTGCGCTTAAAAGCGTTGAGCGTTATGATCCAATCAAAAACGAGTGGACCCAAGTGGCAAACATGCGCCTACCCAGAAGCCACTTCGGAATGGCGTCTCTGCAAGGACGTCTTTTCGCCGTCGGTGGTTACTGCGGGATCTCGGAGATCGAGCACGTCGAGTGTTACGACCCCATGACTAACAAGTGGGCCGATATGAGCAGCATGAACAAGTCCCGGATGAATCACGCAGTGGTTACCTTTAGCGATTGCATCTACGTCATCGGAGGCAGTAACAGTGTTGGTATTCTGGACTCCATTGAGAAGTACAATCCTGATTTGAATCTTTGGTTGATCATCCGCAACACGATGGATCCTCGCAGTGGAGCAACAGCGGCCGTGGTTTTGTGTGGGACTGATGGAGGGCAGGAGTTGTTTATCATTGGCGGCCATGACCATCACAGCAGAGATACAAACTCCGTTAAAAAGCTCAATTTGAAGTTTGCTGATTACTCATCAGCAACGGCACCGTGTATGAATCATCGTCGAGTGTACGCTTCAGTTGCGTGTGCTTAGACTGCTGCAGCTCAAGGCAGGCGATGCATAAGTCCCCCCCCGCTCGCGCGCTCTCCACGCCACTTTCAGAGCGGATACTATGAACTTTGAAAAAGATACTAAGAAAATAGAATATGTTCCTTTCAAGGTCAGTGCACCGTTTCTGGTGGCAAGTGCGGGTGCGTGGAAGGCGAGCTGTGGAAGAGAACCGCAACACCGTCTTTCAATCGCAACTGATTTGGACCCCCAGAGATTTTAGAAACCCCGGTCCAAATTCGTTAGCATATCATGCAGGGATCATCTTGATTTAAATCCGTTAGAGGTTTTGGATCCCCTCTGACAAGAATTTAATAATCAGATAATCTTCAGAGAATCGCATTGAATTTCGTTTAGTCGTTCATCTGGTAAGGATCAAACATAAAACATTTATACAAAAAAGGCAAACCAACAATGCCACGCTTTTAAAAAAGGCAGTAGCATAAAATAGCAGTATAAAATGCACCTAACCTGGCAACCTCGTCCCCAGGGCGCTTTTCCCTGGACGAGGTTGGTTACGCCGGGATTGGTAGAGGAAAAGTTTGAAAGCAGATTTCATCATCCTTGTAGCAACCAGCTCAACATAACTATTAGTACAACTGACAATCAGTCCATTGTCACTGAGAACCGTATTTATGAAATAATGGAATTCTCTCTGAAGGACAAGAAACCCGGAAAAAAAATCAACAGTCAAAGTCCAACTGGCACAGAGTCAGATATGTATGCGTTATGTTCTATTTCATTGGTAACCGGGGACCGTTTTTGATCGATCTGATCAAAGCCGTTGCTTTTCAATCCACCCCGGCGCTCCACACCTGCCTCGGGCTTGGCCTTGCTTGCCTGAAAAACTCGAAAAAATAACTCATGGGGCTGCAGCCTGCAGGAATATGGCCAACGAAAACAGCCCCCACCACCCCAAACATGTTTCTTGTTGTCTTTCCCTATATAAACCTCTTATCTGAAAAACAATTTCAGTACACATAGAAGGATCGGAAAGGGGGCTAAATAAAAGTAATTAAATGCACTAAAAGTACAGCAGTTGAGTTTCATTGAAACTGCTTAAAAAACAAACAAGTAAAAAAAAACCACATCTTAAACGCACCCTGCCATCCAGCTCACAATCTCCGACGATCTCCGACGATCATCCTCGAAATCTTCGACGGACCCTCGGCGGTCCCCCCCGTCGTGTTTTTGTACTCTCCCCAGGTTTCTCTCACAATGCAAAATTAAGATGGCGGCGGAAGTGTGAATCTGTGAATCCTATTTCTTGGTTGCACTTTCCTCGTGTGATTTCATCAAGGCGGAAATATCTCGTTACTTAAGGTAAGACAAGCTTTCAATACGTTAAAGATCCGTTAGTCACACAGGGTACACAGGACATTGCAGTCCTCTCGCGAAATCTCTCAATGACACTGCAATGGCTTTTGAAGGTAATTTACATCATGATCGCATCGATCACTTGATTTAAACTGCGTTCGGCATTAAGTCAAGCATATTATTCCGATTGCAGCGTAATAGGGCCGATAAACCAATTTATTTCTTATCATTTTACACGCCCTGTAAGCTTCGGAAGTTGATCTATAAAAATGTACGAACATAGAAGTGTCCTTTATTGCACTTTGACTGAAAATAAAAATCTTACATGTACCTGTTTAAACAAGACTGCAGATTTTATCCCGGGTAATTTTCTGATCAACTCTCTACAATATATCCCTAAGTAGTCTATGTAACATCACTCCTTCCAGCCTGAGTGATTTTTATCTCATCTCACAACAAATCAAGTGACTTCGCTTCAGGTTTAAGAAACTACAATCAGCAACAAAATTAGGGAAAGTTCATTTAATATGACAAGAGGGGGGGATGAAGATATTGAGGGGGGGGGCTCCGAAAATTTTTAGACACCCGAAAGGGGCTCTGAAAAAATTGTTGCGCTAGGGGGGGGCTCGAAAATTTGTATACTTCAAAACTAACACATGACATCATCATACAGATCGGATGGTTTTCAACTCAACAATTTAATGACCTGTGCAACTCAGCTATATCAAGTGGTTTACAGATATAACAAATGTAGTCTCAGTAATTATTACACTCTTGTTCATCCCAAAAATGCTTTAGAAAATTGTAACACAACTGTATCTCAAGTTTGTCATAGTATAAACCATTGAAGACAATAACGGTAAATATATTTAATACAGTCTAGCGATCTTTTTTCAGGGGAGCAAAGGAAATGAAGGGGGGGGGGGGTTCTGAAATTTTTTCGACTACCAAGGAGGGGGCTCCTAAAAAATTGAACCGCTAGCGAGGGGGGCTGCTAAAATTTCAAGCTTCGAGTTTCAATATCTTCATCCCCCCCCCTTGTCATATTAAATGAACTTTCCCTTATTGAGGCATTGTACTAAACTAGGGTAATAACTTAACTAGAGAGAACAAAAGTATCCACCCTCATCCCCACTCCCCTTCATTCAAAGTTGCAGTTTTTGTCGTTTTCTATAGGTAGGTCGAACAGCGGCACAACATTGCATGGAGGGGATGGGGGAGGGAAAGCTTTATTTCCCCTCTAGAAGTCAGTAAAGCATCAGCCTTAGGGCAAAGTGTCTCAACCACACTGTAATTTTGTCAGCGGTTGTAGCTCTAGATTGTAGCAATACACACATACCTCCACTTAAGGAAAGGAAAAGAAAAATAGAGCAGTTTATTGAATGTTGATTAATTATGCAAAAATTGTCACTGAATATGATTTATCCGCAAATGTTCCTTTTTTCTAAGACTATTAAATTCATTTGATGCCATTTTCTGACATGAAACTTCAACTACCCTGCAGCAAGACAGGTGCTTGTTTGTTTACCTTTTATTGGCAGAAATATTTTTTTCCTATGGCTGATGACCAAACGTTTTCTGTTTTTGTTTCAAAAGTGCAGAATGAGCAGGGAATTTTGTTGTTCAGTTAACGGAAGTTAGCCTGAGAATCATGATTTTTATGCACCCGTTCGGGCTTCTTGTTTCAAATTTTGGTCACCCATGGTAAATTGTAGGAGCCTCTGGCGACCAGGCCCCCATTTGGCAGTAGCCTTGACACTGCCTAGTGTAAAGCACGTAAATACATACCTTGATAAGTATAAAAACAGTTTTGATAGTTCAAAAGTTAGATTTTATACAAAAATACTGAGTCAATTTTCCAAACTGTAAGATAAAAAACATTTTGGTGGCCCTTTTTTTATTAACTATGCATATGCACTTGTACATGCAAGTGCTCTTGACTGTACCATTTGCTGTTTTTGCAGATGGTTGTATTTATTTTTCGTGAGAAATAAATCGTGTCTCAAAATCCTTTCAAGTGGTGAATATAAAAAATGCTTGTTTCTTAGAACTCGACTCAATATTTGCATTTTGAAACTCAATTTGTTGGAGTTTGAAGTATTCTTCTGTTTTCATCTCATCACGCAATGCTTATTAGCATTGTGTAATGAGACAAAATTGTCTGCGTTTCAAGGAGAGAAAATCAAGTTTTGAGGAAGTGGTCAAGATTGTCAACTTTAGATACAGACACTATCAATAAATTATTTATGGTCATTCTGGTGAACTAATTAAGACTAGGTTTAGGTACACTGGCTGTAGGGGTCTGTTCTTGAAGTACAATAAAGCAAATAATACCTCTAGTACAGGAAAATGAAGATTGGCCCTTGAATGTTAGTTAATCCTTAACTACTGTATGCTACTATTTGTGCCCTTCAGTTTGATAACTAATAAATTTGAAGGTTATCAACCAACAGATTAGTACACCGTTTGTTGTGAGCTAGAAGTGTGACAAATTAGTTACTGTTTTTTTAATGGGCCCCTAGAAATGTAGCTTTTTATTTGAGGAGCCCGAAGGGCTCCCAAAAATTCTCTTAGCCAGCAGCCTTGCTCTAAGGTAAATGCAAATCTTCACTCGCACTTCCTAACCATTGGTTACTACTAGTTATTGCAGTTCTAAATTTGATTTTGGTTTGAGATAAATGTGTTTCAAACTGGCAAAACCAGTGGTTTCATAGCTGACCGTGTCCCTTAAACTAATCTATATAAGGACCAAAACAGTTTTTGAAAAAATTTTTTATTATTTATTCTTTTTAAGTGTGACTTGAAATCATATTCATTATTTTAGGTAATATATGCACCCCTCCTTCTCGGAAAAATAGCCACCTACAGAATAACAACAAGGGTGGCAACTGGACTCTTAAAAAGAGTAAGAGAATAAGCCAATTCCCTAGAATAAACCCTGTTACTCTTTAGGCCAAATAAATAAGTGATAGATCAACATGGAAATTCTCCACACTGGCCTCCATACAATTCTTGAAAAATTGGTTGAGAGAATTTGTTTAAAGATCAAAGCGTATTTCCTTGAAGTGATCATTTTATTAATTCTCATAACCTTTCTACTTGATTATATACTGATGATGTTTGGGGAAAATTGATGTTGATCACTCCTGGGACTTAAAGGGATAAATAAATCACGACTGTAACACTTCATGTGGACTGATCTTGTATGGAAGTTGTGATTTATTTTTGATCTTCCAATTATTTCATGTGCTTGAGTGTTTCCACTTTGCATTCCAGTGTTATTATGAAGAATCAATTTATTATTGATACCATTTTCTGGCTGCTGTTTGGTTGTTTGTTTGTTCCTGGTCCAAAACAGGAAGTAGGGAACCATTACTTCAGTCTATTCCTTCCTCTTCCTTTTTTGTGTTTATTGATGCATTTTACAGTAAATTAAACAAGCGTCCCCACTCTCTAATAATCTTCCCTCTCTGTTAAGTTCCCCCCATCAAACATGCTTGAAATGAAAAGGCCTATTAATAGAAGATTTATAGTAATACAGGTTCTACTATATTGACTATGTGAATGCTGCACATGTATGATGAACCTTAATTACCATTATTTTCAAAGTGTGTTATTTTACAAACCACAAGGAACTCTTGGATTTAAATACGAAGTCAACAAATACC